TTCAGCTTTTTTGGCCCAGTGGTTCCTGAGAAGAAGATTTTCAAAGATTTTTCCTATATACATGTATTTCTATGTAAAACTTTGATTCCCTATAATGGCCCCGCCCTTCCTCCGGGGGTCATGATTCCTACAATTTAGAATTTACACTACCCCAGAATGCTTCCACATAAGCTTCACTTTTTCTGGCCCAGTGGTTCTTGAGAAGAAAATTTTCAAAGAATTTTCCTATATACAGGTAAACTTCGTTATCTCGACATCGACGGGACAGTCGGAAAATGTCGAGATATCCGAGGTGTCGAGATATCAGAGTTGAGACTCGACGTCCTTAATTTTACTGCATAGTAAAACCATAGAACTGAACAGATGTATAACTACAGGTACCTACATATCTTCAATTAGACTGTAGCTCATTTGTTTCAGCTATCCCTCTATATTTATTTAAAAAATCTAATGTTTTTCACGAATGTTTTTATGAAATGCTTTCTTTTTTATCTCTTTTTACTAAAAACCGTTTTCCATCCAGCATTCGATCCGCGTGCCACTAGCTCTGTCAGAACAGGATACGAAATGCGCTCTATAAACTCCAAACCGGGACGGTACAATGTCGACTTCCGAGATACGGAAAAAAATTAATGCTTATATTTTTTAAAATAATTTCATTTCACTTCTGTTTTATTTCATAATCATTCATCATTAATTTTCATTTCATTTTCAAACCTAAATTTAATTGGAATTGCGCATTTAACAAACTTAATGATGCTACATATGCATCCATGTTACGACTGTGATGCAATAGTCGTACATGTCGTAGATTGATTGATTCCTGTTGAATGCATTTATAATATAGTTTTTAAGTTAAATTGAATTCAATTTGTGAATTGTTCATTGTTATTCAGTTCCTTTTTTATATAAAATGTTTAAGTTTTGTTAGATTTCGACATAAATAAACGATTTTACTTTTACGCAGAATCAAGATTTATCAATGATATTACCCAAGCTAAACATTAAACAATTAACGTATTAGAGACGCCTAGGGGGCTTGGGATTCCTCTACAAACACATTTTTACAGAGCAGTATGTAGTCAAAACATGGGTGTGAAAGGTGTGAATTTCTGGCGATGTCGAGATACACGGAGTCGCCCGTGCGTGACGAGCGACCAGCTGACAAACAATTAGGTTAAGTAGAGCAGAAAATTGCCCCGATGTCGACATATACCAGGTAAATTTTGCTCTTGGGACTGTGAAATACGTCGAGATAAGCGGGGTAGTCGACATTACCGAGGTCGACATATCAGAGTTTTTGCAAATCATTTATATAGTATATAATGCCGGCACCGCGGACGGACGTCGACATATCCCAGGTTGTCGATATATCCGATGTCGAGATACCGAAGTTTACCTGTATTTCTATATAAAAATTTGATTCCCCATTGTGGCCCCGCCCTTCCCCCGGGGGTCATGATTTGAACAATTTAGAATCTACATTATACCAGGATGCTTCCACATAAGTTTCAGCTTTTCTGGCCCAGTGGTTCTTGAGAAGAAGATTTTCAAAGATTTTTCCTATATATTTCTATGTAAAAATTTGATACCCCATTGTGGCCCCGCCCTTCCCCTGGGGGTCATGATTTCAACAATTTAGAATCTACACTATACCAGGATGCTTCCACAGAAGTTTCAGCTTTTCTGGCCCAGTGGTTCTTGAGAAGATTTTCAAAGATTTTTCCTATATATTTCTATGTAAAACTTTGATTCCCCATTGTGGCCCCGCCCTTCCCCCGGGGGTCATGATTTGAACAATTTAGAATCTACACTATACCAGAATGCTTCCATATAAGTTTCAGCTTTTCTGGCCTAGCGGTTCTTGAGAAGAAGATTTTCAAAGATTTTTCCTATATATTTCTATATAAAACTTTGATTCCCCATTGTGGCCCCACCCATCCCCTTGGGGTCTTTATTTGAACAATTTAGAATCTACATTATATCAGGATGCTTCCACATAAGTTTCAGCTTTTCTGGCCCAGTGGTTCTTGAGAAGAAGATTTTCAAAGATTTTTTCCTATATATTTCTATATAAAACTTTGATTCCCCATTGTGGCCCCGCCCTTCCCCCGGGGGTCATGATTTGAACAATTTAGAATCTACACTATACCAGGATGCTTCCACATAAGTTTCAGCTTTTCTGGCCCAGTGGTTCTTGAGAAGAAGATTTTCAAAGATTTTTCCTATATATTTCTATATAAAACTTTGATTCCCCATTGTGGCCCCACCCATCCCCTTGGGGTCTTTATTTGAACAATTTAGAATCTACATTATATCAGGATGCTTCCACATAAGTTTCAGCTTTTCTGGCCCAGTGGTTCTTGAGAAGAAGATTTTCAAAGATTTTTTCCTATATATTTCTATATAAAACTTTGATTCCCCATTGTGGCCCCGCCCTTCCCCCGGGGGTCATGATTTGAACAATTTAGAATCTACACTATACCAGGATGCTTCCACATAAGTTTCAGCTTTTCTGGCCCAGTGGTTCTTGAGAAGAAGATTTTCAAAGATTTTTCCTATATATTTCTATATAAAACTTTGATTCCCCATTGTGGCCTCGCCCTATCCCGGGGTTCATGATTTGAAAAAAATAGAATCTACAGTACCCCAGGATGCTTCCACATAAGTTTCAGCTTTACTGGCCCAGTGGTTCTTGAGAAGAAGATTATTTAATGACCCCACCCTATATTTGTCTTTTCTTGATGTCCCTTCATTTTAACAATTTAAATTCCCCTTGACCCAAGGATGCTTTGTACCAAGTTTGTTCAAAATTGGCCCAGTGGTTCTTGAGAAGAAGTCGAAAATGTGAAAAGTTTACAGATGGACAGACAGACGGACGGACGGACGGACGGACAAAATGTGATCAGAAAAGCTCACTTGAGCCTTCGGCTCAGGTGAGCTAAAAATACATAACACACATAGTCCTCCATTGAATTCCTTCACATTCACTTCTGGGGATAGATGTTTTTTAGACAGCTATGTGGTAATTGATATGGAACATGGTAAAACAATTATATTTAAAACTTAAATTATTGTTCGAAACAAGACACATGTGGATTTCCTCTAGTGACTTCTTTAGAGCAAAAGGATGTTATCTTCAACTACCTTTTCCTGTAAAAAAAAAAACAAGCAAACAAATTTATGTATTAATCCTACATGTACATCCTATCTTCTGTGAAGGCTGCATAACCATTATATATGTATGCAATTCCCACTATGCTAGTCAATGTAAATAATTAGCATAAATCAGTTAGACAGTGGAACAATGCAGATGAACAAGCTTCATAATATATAGGAGTTCTGGATTTTAAAGTTGAAGTAGGGTGGTTCAATTCTCACAGACAAACATTACTTAATTCCTTCGTCATAATTTACATAATTCTATGTATATTTTGACTCTTTTAAGCAAATAATATGAATTAATGAGGTCTGTTTTCCTGAAGAAAGGGGGTGGGGTGGTAAGATAATTTATTGACTACTTTATCTTAAAATTTTATAAAATTTGGAATTGTACAATGTAATCCCAGTTTTTTTAAAATTCATTAATTTTAATCAAACTTTTATGTACATTAACATTCATGAGCAGACAAATTGATCTATGAACTACCTAAACTTTATCAATCTTGCTCCCTTTCATATAGAATTTACAGATTCCAATTTGGTTTTCTTTTTTTTTTGGGGGGGGGGGGGTGTAGAATAACTTTTCTTTGTGTCATTAAGTAATATATTTCATCTAAAATATAAAGGTAAATATATAACTTTGATGCTATTTTTCCACATTGAATTGGTATATGTACCATTCCGTACTCATTTGGCAAATTGGTCTAGATAAGTATATTTGTCAGTTTGTTCCATTGATGTTATGAAAGACTAATTAAAACTAAGATTTGGACATAGTTTATGTTTTGAAACTCTGATTTATAAATGGAGGAGAAGGTGGATTAAAATGATTTATGTGTGTATATATTAGGAACTTTAGTCTTTCCAGCAGTGTGACCTCATGACCTCTTTAACAGTTTTTAAATACACACATACATAGCATAGGCATAAAATTATTTTAAATTTCATTATTAGCATTTATCTATTTTTAATTGTATTAGGAGTAATTTAACAACTGCAGAATTAAAATATTTGTGGTAATATAACAGGTTGCCTTTGATTTAATACCTGTAAGGCAGTAACTTCGTAGCATCACTCAATATTTGTATCACATCATAGGAAAGAAAAATTAATCTTGAGGTACCTTCATAATCTTTTCTCTTGCTTTAAATATATAAAGTTATCAAAGTTTACCCAAAAATTTACATGAAAAATATATATTTAACATACCATTATATGTTTTTGTCCAAGTACTCCAAGTTGGAAGTTTTCCCTTTTCTCCCGCATTTCCTCAATTGTTGTCTGTTCCATTCTTTCCGGTCTTCTTTACTAGAGAGCTCGTGCAAGGGAGGCAGTCCAATCGTTTTTCAACAGAGTTTTCCAAAAATTCAATCGGATATTTTACTTAAGGTTTTAAGAGTCTACCCAATTTTATTTATTTAATATATTGAACAGAACATTCTTCTTCTACAGATATATATAGAAATTTTTAAAGCTGCACAGCATTTGCAAACCACTTAGCTCTTTATGTGATATAATTCTACCAGTAAATTCTTAATAAAATTAAGCACATATTAAATTTTACTAATAAAATAGAGAAATATAGTTCAAAGCAATTTATGACCCACATTATTAAATTATACCTAGAGTTTTGAGGTCAAATATATTAATTATAACAGGATAAACCAGTTCACATATTTCTCTGATAAGTATAACAAAATACTCTGGTTGCCATGGAAACAAGAGGTCATATGCCCGGGTAGATAATTTTTTTTGAAAGACTAATCATATGCATCATGTTCACAAAATCTGAGCAAGAAATAAATTTTTCCACTTTCCATGATTATATAGGGTGAAGCTCAATGCTTATTGGCATGGCCTCTTAAATACTGTGTGGTATGTTTTTCTGCTTTATAAGTTTTCAAGGATTCAATATTGGACTCACTTTCTCCTGCCTCTTTACTGATTATTCCTATGTCTATTTTATCTACAGGAAAAACTTTGTGATTAGTTTATCTTCATGCCCTCGTAATGAAAGATATGGGGGTTTATATTTTTTATCGCGTCAATCCGTCTGTCTGTCTGTTTGGGTTTTTTGTATGTTGTTATAGGCACTCTCTAGAATTTTCCCCTCATAAAGAGACGTACAAATACCAGTTGATAGCTGCAAGTTTGTCCTATGCTCGGTATTAAGAGTCATGACTCATGAAGCAGGAATGAATCTTTTTCGTGCCGGCATCTACTACGACACGGGACCTCGGTTATTCTTGAAACTACGTACCCCTTGCATTGACCTAATAAAGTTACATAATAATTAAAAGTTGTGATCGGACAATGCCCTGATGGAGCCTCGTGCATGCATTCAAAATTTCTAAAACCATTTTGAGGTCATGTATAATGCAATGTTTACGCCATGGGGTCATATTTTCAACTGCAGAAATGTGCCTAAATCTGAAAAACAATAGCTTGTTTTGGACATTCAAATGTTAATTTGTAGAAGGAAAAACAAAATACAAGATAATTGTCTTGAAATATAGGCAATAAGTGGGCTGAGGTCAAGAACGTGAGATTGCTCGGCAAGCCTTGCCCTCTATCACGTTTTCTTACCATCGCCCAAATATCGCCTACTATTGTATATTTCAAGACAGTAACCATGTTTTTTTATTATATATTTACATGTGTATATGGTCTTATTCGACAGACTGGTCTCCACGTCCCACTTTGAGATTACTGTCTGCTTGTCTGCAAAAAATTTAACCTTGCTCATAACTTTTGATTAAGTTGATCCATGACTTTCATATTTCACATGTGTATTTCTAGTAACAAGACTTCCTTTAAGGTACCACCTGATTTGGCCTTTTAACCTCGGCGTTTCAGTTTGACACACTTTTACACAAAAATTTAAAAATATATATATATATTGGCAATAACTTTGAACGGTAAAACTAGTACTAGGACTTTCATACGGCACACATGTTTTTGGTGACATTGGATACCAAAATCTTTCACCTTTTGAACTTGAGCTGAAAGAGTTATGCACTATAAAAAAACTTTAACCTTGGCCATAATTTTGAGAGGGAAGAGTTAGGTCTCTTTACATTGTTTACATATGCTTTTCTTGTGAGAAGACTTTTTTATTATTAACAAAATCTTTGACTTGTCACTTTGACCTTGGAGATTCACCTACTTTTAAAAAAAAAAAAAACTTTGACCATATTTTTAAGGTTTAGGACTGGGGCTTTCATAGTCCACATACTTAATCCATGTAACAATACTTTTCATTGGATACCAAGAACTTTAACCTTCACCCTGGAGTTTGACCTTTCTTTATAAAACTTATCATTGGCCATAGCGTTTGAGCAGGCGGTGTTAGGATTATCATATATCACAATTTTATTTTTTTTGAGAATTTCTTACGTTGGGTAATAATATATTTTATTTCCATATAAGACAAATCTTCTTTCTTCGCTATAATGGAATACAGGGTCATCAGTGTTTCACAAACACATTTTTTTTCTTTTAAATTAATAAAACATTTCTACTTTACTGTACCTGAGCCTGCACCACAGATCAAAGACTTTGTCACATATACTTCTACATTATGATGAAGGTCTAGTTTTACTTTTTAAATATACTTTATTGACTATGTCAGGAATTTGAAAAATACTTTGGTTCAATTCTTAATAGCTAATTTTGTTAAGTTAGATTTTTTTATTTCCCTTAAATTGACAATTGATCGGAAAATCACAATTATTACAATATATTACACACACTTAAATTATGCAAGTAGATTCGGGGGTGTGAGAAATTTGCTTACTGTTTAAAATGTTTTTAATAGACTGGTTGCCTTTTCTACAATGTAGTTAATCGGGGAAATCTCCAGCTGATAACTTATGAATAAAATTTGGTTTCCAATGAACTTAAATCTTAGCAATGCCTCCCTTTACCTCACACGAACAAATTTCTGAAATTAAGTTTCGTAATTTTTCCCTCTACGTTTTATGGACTTTGATATTGAATACTATTCGTTATCTCAATATTCTTCCTTATTCATAATTTTTATTTTGTTTGTCAAACTTTCTACAGTAATTTGTGTTTTGGGGAAATTGAGCTAACAACCAATCCCCACTTTAAAAAAAAACAATTCTCTGTTCCTAAATAGAATTCTTTTTGTTGAAATCATATGCATAATAAAACTGTTAAGAAATTGAGGTAAAATTCAATTTCTACATTTTTGAGAGCCATCAAAATTGTGTTCTTCAGTTTCTCCTTAACATATGTTGGCAACTCCTGATATTAATCTAGGTCAATTTAAAAGTAGAAATATAACAAGGACTGCTTTATTTTAAAGTAAACTGTACATTATATATCGAGATGCATTAAAAATCTTTGAAAAGAATTTTCTCAGAAGTTTGCCAATTTCTTTTTCGTGCGATTTACGATCGCTATTTCCCTGTTATACGATTGCTTTAAAAAATATTCATGTCATTGAATCTCTCCTCGCAATTGTCCAGTTAAATGTTGTTTTGAGGATAATATAACATGCAGTTTCAATTATAATTATATTAAGTTCATATTTCCAGGAATCACTACTTAACAATAATCTTCAACGCTAGTATATATGATTAAACCTCTACTGATTCTTCCCTATATAAAATTATACTTTAAGTGATTAGATCTGAACAATTCCCCAGAAATAGCTGTGAATCGTCTTATCCCCGAGTGTTAGTTTTTTGAGCTTATCCCTCGGTCGAAAGCTAGTCATGTTAATTCGCGAATATAGACTTTCAAATTGTGACGTCATATTAGAGCGACGCAAAAACACAATGCTTTGTTACGTATTTCATATAACAAAACGCAACAAAGCTACAGTACGGCGCATCTCTGCAAAAACAGACTTGTTAAAATTTTCCTATAGGATTTGGTATTTTTTAAATTAATAAATGTATACATTTAAAATTACTAGTTTTATAAGTAAGGAATTCTGATTATTTTTATTTAAATTAATAATCATTGATGGTAAATAAATATATACATCGCAACGTGTTCGAGGTTCCACATTCCATGCTATATATGCATGCTGAGTTTTCATAAACAAAACAGCATGTTAAGAGAGGGAAGACCGGTAGGCCTGCTACATTGACAAAGTCGAACAAAACGAATATCGAAACCAAACATACAGAAAGAAGGTCCTTTAGCTGAAAAAAAACTGTCGTTCAATTTTTTCATATTTTGTATATCCCTAATTTAGTATGTCCCACATACATAAAAGCAGATTTATCAAAAAGTTTCTAGACTTATTTTTGAGAGATTGAGTTACAAATACTATGCTCCACGACGTCTGAGTGAACATTTGATTCTCCATATTTTTGGGTCCTTTGCTCGATCCATAACGGAATTTTTTCAACACAATTAAAAATATGTCTGCGAATATGTGTTTTTTGAAATATTAAGTAGTATGAATAGGGTTAAAATTTCGAAAAAGCAAGATTATTTTGTCACACCGTATATAAAGATGAAAAATTACGTACTTTTTAAGACAACTTAAACAATAAAAAAAATATTTTCCAAAAATTCTATCATTTAATATTTGAACATTTAGGTTGAAATGCAATTTCGTCAAGGTATTAATTAACTGTAAAAATATCGATTGGTGAAGCTGAGCTCAATATTACACGGAGCATAGTTAAACGAGACAAGACCATGAGAAAAAACGTGTTATGTTTACATTTCTCGAGTACGGGAAAACTCAACTATGACGTCACACATTTCTAAAATAAGCTAAATAAGACATACCTACAGAATATTTCCCTCAACAACCATGTAAAAATATTTTTTGCCCTCTGTAATTCACAAAATACCCGACCGTGTACAGATCATGACCCGTTTTAAATATTTTATACTACCCGTTTTCACCCTGTTTAATCTTACTGTACTGAGAGATCCACTATGATGTCAACGACGCGCTGGACGCGCAGTGTAGGGAAACAGAAGAGTAGATTAGTCTATTTACGTAATTTGATAATATTGCAAGAAATTTTGAATGTTTTCAGATATTTTTATACAAGATAGTGAACGCAAACAAACGGTCAAAAAATTATACAAGTACTGTGATTTCAATCTCGTTTTTTTTTTTTTTTTACATATTTTATCAGAGATTATGACGTAAATAAACTGAGTCATGTGACCATACATCCTCGTCCCCTAAAATCAAAACTTTCCTTACAAAAATTTATTTGGGAGATTAATATAATCATTAGATGAAGAAGAAACGGGATCTCAGCGACATTCACGTGAATGTAAAACTCGTTGAGGTTCTACATTACAGGTTTTTAGCTCACCTGAGCTGAAAGCTCAAGTGAGACTTTCTGATCACATTTTGTCCGGCGTCCGTCTGTCTGTCCGTCTGTCTGTCTGTCCGTCTGTCCGTCTGTCTGTCTGTAAACTTTTCACATTTTTGACTTCTTCTCAAGAACCGCTGGGCCAATTTCAACCAAACTTGCCACAAAGTATCCTTGGGTGAAGGGGATTCAAGTTTGTTCAAATGAAAGGCCACGCCCTCATTCAAGGGGAGATAATTGGGAATAAATGAAAATTTGGTGGCATATTTTAAAAATCTTCTTCTCAAGAACCACTGTGCCAGGAAAGATGAAACTTATAGGGAAACATCCTCAGGTAGTGTAGATTCAAGTTTGTTCAAATCATGACCCCCGGGGGTAGGGCGGGGCCAAAATCGCCGACCTAAGTTTTACATAGAAATATATAGGAAAATTCTTTAAAAATCTTCTTCTCAAGAATGACAAAGCCATAATTCATCATATTTATATGGAAGCATGCTCAGGTACTGTAGATTCAATTTTGTTCAAATCATGACCTCCGGGGGTAGGGCGGGGCCAAAATGCCCGACCAAAGTTTTACATAGAAATATATATAGGAAAATTCTTTAAAAATCTTCTTCTCAAGAATGACAAAGCCATAATTCATCATATTTATATGGAAGCATGCTCAGGTAGTGTACATTCAATTTTGTTCAAATCTTGACCCCCTGGGGGAGGGCGGGGCCAAAATGGCCGACCAAAGTTTTACATAGAAATATATAGGAAAATTCTTTAAAAATCTTCTTCTCAAGAATGACAAAGCCATAATTCATCATATTTATATGGAAGCATGTTCAGGTAGTGTAGATTCAATTTTGTTCAAATCATGACCCCCGGGGGTAGGGCGGGGCCAAAATCGCCGACTTAAGTTTTACATAGAAATATAAAGGAAAATTCTTTAAAAATCTTCTTCTCAAGAATGACAAAGCCATAATTCATCATATTTATATGGAAGCATGCTCAGGTAGTGTACATTCAATTTTGTTCTAATCTTGACCCCCCGGGGGAGGGCGGGGCCAAAATGGCCGACCAAAGTTTTACATAGAAATATATAGGAAAATTCTTTAAAAATCTTCTTCTCAAGAATGACAAAGCCATAATTCATCATATTTATATTGAAGCATGTTCAGGTAGTGTTTATTCAAGTTTGTTCAAATCATGTCCCCCGGGGGTAGAGCGGGGCCAAAATGGCCGACCAAAGTTTTACATAGAAATATATAGGAAAATTCTTTAAAAATCTTCTTCTCAAGAATGACAAAGCCATAATTCATCATATTTATATGGAAGCATGTTCAGGTAGTGTAGATTCAATTTTGTTCAAATCTTGATCCCCAGGAGTAGGGCAGGGCCAAAATGGCCGACCAAAGTGTTTAAAGATATATATAGGAAAATTCTTTAAAAATCATTTTCTAAAAATAGCAAATCCATGATTGGTCATGGGACTACTTTTGGATTTAAACTTTACAATAAAAAGCCATTTTCTACCTTTTCCTACCCTTAGTGCTCAGGTGAGCGATGTGGCCCATGGGCCTCTTGTTTTTTTATAATATGTGCTTTAATTCTCGTATCTCTTTCAAAAAAGAAATCAGTGTTCACTCAACATAAAAATGCTTTTATAACATATGAAAATTATTGCCATTTGAGGCGGAAATTGTATTGGAACCGCAGAAGATATTTTTGGGACATATTACTGTGATGACGTATGATTTGATGGATTCTTTTTTCTTGCACCCCAATGCACAAATCGTCAACATTTGAACTTAATCACGTTAAATTCATCTGAATGGACATTAAAAGGTAAAGTATTATTCATTTACAGGTGAGTTATGATATTTTGATTCTGAGAATTGCTTTAACCTAATATTCCATTATACGAGGGTTGTTCGATATATATGTGTATTGTACCACAGCGCGATAACACCTTGCACGATTTAGTCGATATTTATACGCCTGGATAACTATATTCAATGCCTTGCAAACAGTATAAACACGAGACTTCAACTACACATGGTTATAAAATAATCGTCATTTCAATGAAGCCAGTTGTTGACCACTTTTGTAAAAATGGCCGGGAAACGGGCCGAGAATATTAAAGAAATTAGAGCTTATATAAAAGTTCGCACAAAAGTCTGTAATTCGGTAAAGAAGATTTTTTACTGAATTGGGGTAAGTTTATGGGTCTGATAAGGTATATTATGAGACAGTTCGTAGGTGGAGACAGAAATTTCTGACTGGCACAAAGTCCGTCAAAGATGCAGCAAAATGGGGTCGACCTGTGAATGTATCAGGCAAGACAAATGTCTCAAAAGTCAAGGAAATAATTGAAAGTGATGGCAGGTACACGATTCGTGATATTGCCAAAGCTGTTAGCATATCCCTATCGCGGGTGCATTTCATTTTGAAGCATATTTTGAAAGTACGAAAGATTTCTGCCAGATGAATACCCCATATATAAACAGATTACAAAAAAGGTACGAATACAAACCGCTAAGCGACTGCTAAAAATGTTTCCAAACTTTAATTAAAGTAAATTTGCAAACATAGTTACTGGTGACGAAACATGGGTTCACTTTTTCGAACCAGTAAGAAAAGTTTGAAACAAATTATGGCTAACCTAACACGGTAGAGGGCCTGTAGTTGTCAAAAGGACAATGAGTACAAAGAATGTCCTTTCCCAGCAGACACGCAACGTTGTTTCAACGTTGAAAGGAGGTGGAATATAGGTTGCAACGTTGATCAACTATATTTGAACGTTGTTTCAACGTTAAGGTTTCAACGTTGAATCCTCAACCTTTTTTCAATGTTGAAACAACGTTGAAGCTGCAACATATTTTCAACGTTAAATGTCCGTCGATATTTCAACGTTGAAACAACGTTGAGGCTGCAACATATTTTCAACGTTGAATGTTTATCGATATTTCAACGTTGAAACAAAGTTGAAGCTGCAACATATTTTCAACGTTGAATGCTCGTCGATATTTAACGTTGAAACAACGTTGAAGGTTCAGCATTTTTCAACTTTGAGTATTTTCTGATATTGTAGAGTTAAAACAAGGATTAAAATTGCAAAGTTGACTATCTCTTGATTTCAACGTTGAAACAACGTGGAAGATGCAACATTTTTTCAACTTTAGGAAAGTTAGGAAAATTTAACGTTGAAACAAAGGGTGACGAGTATTGAGCACTTTAGTTTTTAAGTTTAAAATATAAAGGTGTCTTTAACTTCTAATCCATGTGATTTTCCTCAATACACACACAACTGTATGCATTGTAAGAAAATATTATATATAATAATTATTATACTTAATAAATGAAACGCATGCATTAATAATTGATTTACTCAAAAGAGTTGTGCAAATAGCTAATACCATCTCGTATAAAATTTTAGATATGAATTTACACGATTCATGGCATCTACATTTAACACTTCATTATAATTATATTTCAAAAAAGGTTATTATCTTTTTAACAAATTGTGAATGCTATTCTTTTTTACATATTTATAAAATATGTTAAATATAAGCTTTTAATAAATAATAATATCTTTATCCAACATCACACTGTAACTCCATGTTACTATAGAATTAAAAAAAATAATTATTCCGAATTAATGTTCTTAAAATTAGACTCATATAGATCCGTGCCGTATACTATTGCACAGATCATATGTACAGAGCGAATTTAAGAAGTTTTATTTTATTAGATTGTGCTTTTGTTGTGTGCATTAAATTAATTTTATAATCTTTCTTTTCAAAAAATATAAAAGAAATTATTATAATTACATAAGAATGTTCCCACTGACAATTAACCCTAATCAAGTTGCATTACTTAAGATCCACTCCCAAAAACCTTCAAGATATCAGATAAGGAGTGCCTCTCGCTTAGTTGGTCAGTTTGGGTGTCAGGATAACCTTGTTATGCAATTTTCTTGCTGTGCAGAGTATAGCTGTTTGCAGCTTATCTAGGTCAAAATTTGAATTCAACTGATGGACAAGAAGTGCGCGTCTCCTTGCTGATCATATTTAATGTGTTTTCAAGCTATATACACAAAGGATTACGGCTGGAATATCAATTTCTGCTCAGTAGGTATTAATTCCTCTTAATGAATTTAAGAAATTAAGCTTTTTTAAGTATCTGTTCATCAATTAATTCTTGTTTTATAAGTATATTTGAAATCTGCGTGAAATGCACATCCTTGGTTCGTGTATTATGTGTTTTGTTGATATTCATTTGATTATGAAATATAAGCCAGTATACTGAAATATTATACAATTTAACTAATTGTAGTTCGTCGTAAGGTTCAATCAAGCAGTGGTGCAGGGAATTGATTGTATAGTCAGCCTTGATTGCATCAGATTCTTCGCCCGTGAAAATTATTCAAAGGAGTGCAACATTTTGTAAGTACACTATGTATATGTATGTCTATAACATTTTTCTTCGGTTATTATTATTTACAAGCATACTCATACGAATTTTAACATGAAGTCAACTTTAATTCTTTTAATCATGTTAATTAAATCCAAGTAGCGGATCGGAATATATTCCTTTGTCTGATTTTTTAAAAACATTCATGTATATGTATTTTTATCGCTTGAAATAAAGTGTTACGTACATTTTATCAAACAAATGGCTTTAACATCTTTATTTTTTTTATCAATAGGCTTTTGCTTTAGAGGATGGATTCTCTGAGCTGTTCATTTCTTTCATTCGTGGGACTTAACTGTATGCGTGATTAAAATCAAGGGATCCGCCACTTTATCGAACTTAGTAGTGTAAGGCAGACGCGTACTTTGAAAGACCTGGATGTGATTACTGTGACCCACTTTTCACTAGGAATATAAATTTTAGTCAAGCAGAGATTTTTGTGATTCAATGATTGATTCCGAAATTATGTTTGTCTTAAAAATACATGTAAAATAAATTCTCTCACAGTCATAATACTGGATTACAACTTATATAAATATTACGCAACTTGAATAATTTTTTTGCTTAGAATTTGAAATGTATTTGTTAATATAAGCAAAATGTAATATTAATTCAACGTGATTTCAACCAAATATCAAAGTTTGTACAACAGAAAAATTTCAACCAAATCTCAACCTTATTTCAACCAATGTTCACTTTTGTTCAATGTTGATATTTGACGTTGAAACAGCTTCAACGTTGCCTCAACTTTCATTTACAATTGAAAATCAACCATAAATCAACCAAAACTTCAACCCGTTTTCAACGTTTATTCAACGGTGAAAATTGACGGTGAAACAACGTTATATCTCAACGTTGCCTCAACTTTCATATGCAACCAAAATTCAACGTTGATTCAACGTTGAATCAACGTTGAAATGCCTGCTGGGTTATTGCATATTCTTCTCTGGAGATATTTCAGCCGTACAAATTCCGGTGCCGAAGGGCAAAAGTATTACAGATCGGTATTACCGAGATGTACTGAAAAAGCTGAAGAAATATCAGAAACGACGTCCTGTGTCGGGATTTAGGTATGTCCACCTTCTTCATGATAATGCTCCATCACATACCTCATAGGTAAACCTAAATCAGCGTTCCGTGACGCATTTCATAAATGGATTTAGAGATAAAAAAATTGTGTATTTCAAATCACGGAGAATACTTCGAAGGAATGAAATGTCCATTTGACTTTTTCAATCGAATGCTTTTGAGATATCGTACAATACACAATATATATAGAAAAACCCTCGTACATGTATTTGTAAACCCTATGTTGTATGCACGTGTCATTTTAGAATTCACGTGGTACAAGTAAAAAGATCTAAATTGTACGACAATTGATTTTCCGGCAGATTTTAATTATGTCATTAAGTATGAAGAGAGAATATCTATTTTTCTCAAACTGCTTACTTCAACTTTTTACCTTATTTCTTAATGATATTTTGCGTAAATTTGAATGAAAAAGCAAACGATTTGCAGCCGCATTGTCCTTTTAAGTAAAATTCAAGGAAATGTAATATGAAATTCCAGTATTGTAATCTCAAACAACGTTCAATCTCACCTATCTCATGCTTTTCTGAACTGATTCTATCACCGTCTCCCTGCTGTTTTAGATAACTGTTTATCCCGCTCGAAACGTCTTTGTTCAATGAGGAATATTCTTCTTTGCTAATATCTTCCAATGAGGAGTCTGCCATCTTGCTGGTTTCATCTATGCTTAGGCCTAGTGTGTCATCCTGTTCATCCATTATACAATCTGACAAGGCATTATCATCAGACTTCTCTTCCCCAAGCTTTTTTTGTTCTCTGTCCTTTTCGCCTAAAGAAAAAACGTCTTCAATTTAGGAAGACTTTGATATGTTTCCAGGTTTGTCATATAAACATAAGCTGATTCAGATGTATAAATAAGTTTTTAGGCTTGTAAATATGCATGTATAACATTTGTAAAAGACTTTTAGAGCAATTGATAAGAATATCCAGTTATTATAATATAATATGATATGTGGTGAAATGTATTTATCATTTTCCCATATTGAAATTATATTTATATAATTCATATCAACATTTAAGGTATGTCACTGGTTACATTTGTTAAATTAAGGATTTTTTTAGAAGTATATCTTGGATGAGTACTCACATAATATGACTCACAAGCGCGGAAAAAACAGTGGGTCAGTTTGTCTCTTACTGATCTACGGTACAATTAAGTTGACTTTTTGCACTTGACCTTTAACTCTTTAGTTAATTATTATAACCTTTTTAGATATTATTTCATCAGATGTAACGATGGCAAAAATAGAATCGTATTTTACATTAAATAGTTTGAATGATATTTACTTTGAACATAGGACAAGATAGGGTAAGACCATTATTTGGCCCCCTATTTTGGGTGTCTTTCAGAATGATCCAACAGTTTATCCATGTAAACCTGTTTTCAGCCCTGCCACAAAATGAGTTTTGGTTTTAAGATTAAAAAAATACAGGGGTCACAATGAGCTCTGGAAATCAGTCAATTTTCGGAATTTCTCATTTTTATTTAAATTTTCATTAATTTTACAGCATATTTTCTTTCGGAAAACATAGAGCACACGCTTGCCTATCTACCAAATTTATACAGTGTATATTTTATACTCTGATATCAGATGCAGTATATGTGTAAAAATCTCAGATAGGCAAGCGTGTGCTATGTTTACCGAAGAGAAGTGTATCTCAAATATGATGAAATTCCACCAAAATTGAGGAAATTCGGAAAAATGTCCTATTTCTGCACCCTCTAGTGGCTTTCGTGTAAGCTTTGAATCAAAATTTAGTGCTTGTCTTAAAGTAAGCATAATTTTTACGTTTTAACTACACGCTATCACAATTTTACCAGTGTTCTGTTTTTTATATCAAATAGGGGGCCAGATTAGGCTCTTACCCTATCTTGTCCTTTTGCAAATTATTGCGTTAATGCGTGTTATTGTGTGGCATTTTGCACTAAAAAGGGGCATGTGTGTGGTATTTAAAATCTAAAAAGGCAATAGAATAGAATATTTTCGGTATAAAACTTTTTTATGACTTAAATGCTGATCAGTCAAAAGTATCGAGTAGTTTAAAATAATGAAAGAAAAAAAATTGAGGTCACTGATGTTAATTTTGAAATATTGGTAAAAATATGTGAATAACAGGTAAAAAAAAAACTGTGTAAATATTATCATTACTTCTGTAACATATCTCAATTTCTATCTTAATTTCTAGACAAAGTTTGTTTAGGGAAGGTGTAAAATTTGCTAAAAATACCCGGTGTATATTTTGAGACCTTTATTGAAAAGTTGAAGTATATCAGAACGGAAATATTCCCCGAGTAATAGTATTTAAGTAGGTAGATTCTACGATTTTAAATTTAATAACTGCATGTGCAGATTTGCAAAAAATTCTGTCATTGTATAAAATTTTGAAATATCATTCCACCACAAACATATTCCCTTTTAGATTTTGCTTCTCTGTGGCTACATGCCATTTTTTTTTTTTTTTGCTCAACATGTTTTCTTTTCTCTGACTCTCCTTATTAAATATAATCTTCCAATTAAAATGTCATTAAAGTTTGTATTTTCTCTATGAATTGGAAAGATACAAACTGATATATATTTCACCAAAAATATGTTCTTTGACCAAGGTTTCTGTATCTGCCGTTAAAAATAAAATTTCAGCATCAATACCTTGGGTTTCTTCACATTCCCGTCTTTCACCTTCAAATTCTATGAAAGGAATTCTTTCTGCAAATAAATATGATTTCACATTACTTCTATTACAAATCAGATTCTCTTTTCATAAAAAAGGACATTACATTCATCAAATTATTTTTTTTTCAAATTATTATCATTTTTCAACGGAGACAATCGACTAACAGAGAAGTATTGATATTAAGGAATGCCAGTAGCCTCGGTTAAATTAAAAATTTAGTAAATTCTGTTGCGATTATAAAGGCCTTGTTAGTTATTGGATGTATTTTGGTTGATTTTGAATTTTTCATTCAAATTTACAAGCTTTGTTTTCAAACTAAAATTAATTACGGAATGTTCCCTCCCCTTGAGCAATTATATAAAAGGCAGGATAACCAGTCAAGAGTTGTTTATTACTCCTCTATAACACCTGAGACTTAAGGAGCTTTCATGGGTCCGTGATTAATGCCCCTCATACACATGTCGCTGTAATTTCACTTTCGTGGTTTTATAAAGTATAAGACATGATAGGGGAATATTTACCCATGGCATTCAGTTCTCTTTCTTTTAAGCTATGTGAACTAGTTTGGATGTCATCCTTCCTCTTGTGAAGCTTAGCCACTGAATTAAAAAAAAACAATATGCTAAATAGTAGATTAATAACATTGTGTAACAAATATTTATCCGTTTGATTATAAAGTATATAAGTATTTAAACTAGAGATTTATTTTTTTTCTTAGATGCATTGAATAGAAGACAAATTCAGACAAAAAATGTATTATGATGAAAAATTACATTAAGATTTTAATAAAGGTACATCTAGTAGAGATGAATGAGAGTCGTTTTGTTGAAGGCTTTCAATGTCCTATTTTTTTCGTATATACATTATTTTCATACCGACGAAAGTCTTTTGTTTTCCTCTTCTGATAATGATTACTGGCACACAGGCAGCAATGAGAAAAAATAACATAAATACGCCCATTACTAGGACCCAAACCCATGTATTGTTTTCATCGATATCCCCTGTCACGGCGGTACTCTTGGTTTCTGTTGGTCCAATTGTTGTAATTCTATTTAAAAGCAAACATATCATTTTCTTTATAAGAGCAGAAATGAATCATAAATCAGTCAACTCTGGATATTTGAGACTGTCTTAATATTCATTACATGACAAAGAATGTTTTGAGGTTGGTGAAACTGAATTATTTATATTAAAATTCAACTGTTTTTTAAATAAGATTTAAAAAAAAAGAGATAGAAATTCTGTGGAATTTTACAATATTTTCCTTGTATACAAAAAAATTTCAAATTTTACAGTTAATCTGGAGTCTGTAAATTTTATTTTTATAACAAAAAACCTTTGAATTTTCACTGCTTATTACTCAAATTAGGTCAAGATTGGAAGAAATTTAAATCTTCATAATATACAAGATCTTCATTTATATGAACTATTTTTAGTCGATATGACATTTAGCATTAAAAGAAGAAAAATAAGGTTTGAAATGTCTAGAAAAGTGAATTAGAAATTTTTGAGACAAATAATAGGATGATAATCACACTTTTGGGGTTATTTCCTCTAAAAGATGACTATTTTTGTTGTTGTTGTTGTTTTTTTTTTTTTTTTTTTTTTTTGTAATGATGAATTTTTTTTTCATGTCGTCGGAACTTCTCGCCCATTAATCGATAAATTAATCATAAGGTGTACAAAATGCTTGTCATAATCCTCACTTAAGGGACAATAAGATAGATCTTGTGTTATAAAAACTTATTTAGAGTTAACAAACAACCAAAGACAAATATATCTACTGCAAATTCCTTATACCCCCGCTTGAAAAGTGGAGGGTATATAGTAATCATTTCTATTATTTCTGTACGCCCGTCTGTCTGTCTGTACGTCAATCCGTCTGTTACGCTACTCCTCTCATACCACTGAAGGAAATTTAATGAAACGTTCACAGAATCTTTATTACATAATGCCATTGTGCACATACTATTTTACTTTTTCATCTGACATATATTTTTAAATTTTCCAGAGCAAAACATGGATACTGCCATAATATTCATATGGGAGGCGGGGTATTATTTAGTGAGCTCATTGTTGTACCTCTAGTTTTAATACATTTGGGTCAATGTTCATAGGTAAGCAAAATTTTGTTGGTTTGTGGGGATGTGATTTCGTGGGTAACTCATATATACAGAGGATTCAATAAATAAATATGTTTATAAAATAAATGTTTTGGGGGATGTAAATTCATGGATAAGGGTGACCCATGAAATCCACAAAAATTGGTCCCCCATAAACATCGGGCATTTTTTGAAAAGAGAAGTTTATGTAACCTTCTTGGGTAAGTAAACTAATCACATACCCCTGTTCATTACACGGAGGCTCAGCAAGAAAGCATCCATTTCCAATAGATAGACAGCTTTGATCTGAAAATGAATGAACAGATACATAGCCTTCAATTAAATGTTTTCTCATTTTCTCATAAATCAGAAATTTTCGTCTTCAATGGGTAAGTCAATTAGATTTTGAAAAATACGTAATTTGAGACAAACATGGCTGAGTGTTCAAGATCACATGGGATTCAAATATGTTAATTTGAGACACACATAGCTGAGTGTTCAAGATCATATGGAATTCTGTATTGTTATTAGATTGGAGCGGGATGGGGCAGTTCTAGGCCTGTTTCTAAACTGTATTGAAATACATGTAGCACTAATTTTTTACATATGCAGTTTTCAAGATGAAACGTCTTGACAAAATCTGTATTCTGTTATAAATATATGTCTTAACGAAATTTTGTACACGTGTTTTTCCCTCAGAAATTTGCACATTTTTATTATATAATTTTCTCTCCTTTGATTAAAACTCAAGAATTTTTTTATATGCCTGTGTAGAAATGTTTTAAATAAATGATGTTATTTTAAAGGAAAGGAAATCAATGATAATTTATCGAGATAAGTTAATCTTATGGGCAATATTAATTGATATACTTTTTATTTACAAATTGTATTATGATACATTTTGATTTAAGAAAAATTAATTTTAGATTATACAATGCACGTACATTTGAATACTTCATTGCTCCAGTACAGCTTATCTGGACACCCATTTCTAAATTGTTTACAGCTGTAGGCTTCAACAAGAGACGTTGTTTTCTTCAGTATCAGACATATACCTATACAAAAGTTTAAATCTATATTGAATTCCATATACTCATGTTATTATAATAAGTTATATGGATTTACTCAATGGCATGAGACAAAAGACAAAAGAAAAATATATTTTAAAGTTGTCTATAAATCATATTAAAATTATTTATATGACTTGCTGAACTTTAGATAATAAATATCATTTTATTTTGATATATTTACATCCACTGAATATTTTCTCCTTTATTTCTTAAGAAACCCCATTGCGTTCATCACTGCATAAACTACAGTAGGCAGGTCGCCTGTACAGATTTCTTAATCAGTGGCTGTTCCATCAATGAAACGTATATAAAGACGTTCGCATCATTAATACAATAATTAATCTTTTTAATCCTACTTTTATTGATTATTTAAACAGATATAAATATAAACAATAAAATGCTTTCTTTGTTTGTTGTTACTGGAATGAACGGTCGCAGCTATTGCAGAAAAAATTAACATAACCCGCTTACGCGGGTTATGTATTTTTTCTGCAACCGCTGCTTCCGTTCATTCCAGTAACAACAAACAAAGAAAGTATTTTATTGTTTAAATAAAGTTTCCAGCCATGTGTAGTATTTACATTTCCCCATTTACAAACCAAGCTTCTCCTAAATAAGCTTAAGATTAAATTGCCAGTATTTTTTTTACTCTTTTCAATTGGAATCCTTGGATATCTGTAACAAAACTCCACCAGTTGTGTAATGTTCTCGTTTGGTATACACATGTATCCATTACTCTCTGTACAGTTTAGGTCAGATGACCTATTTCTCCATTCTGATTGGTTCCTGGGACATGACGTTGTGTTGTACACGGGGAATGAATAGCCTTCCAGCTTATCCTTTGGAGTAGAAATTGGGTTGAATGTATCAAACTCCTTTAAACTGCATAGTACATTTCTTCCAATCTTTTACCTTATCATTAGTTTGTTAAAACAAGGGTAAAAGATAAAGAGATTTAGATTTCGTGATTTAGTAAAAGATTTAGAAGATAATCAAGAAATTACAAGAATAGAAAATAGTATGGTGACATTAAAAAAATTTCTTCTCAAGAACCACTGTGCCAGAACACCTAAAACTTGTTGGTTGCTACCTTCAGTAGTGTATGTAGAGGCTGGCACAAAAGGGAGTCAAAGTTTTACAATGGAATCTCCTCAAGAAAAACTGGACCAGAAGAGTTAAAACTCATGTGGAGGCATATTGGGATAGTGTAGAATCTAAATTGTTTAAATCATGTTCCCTGAGAGTAGAGTGAGACCATTAAAGGGAATCGAAGATTTGCAATGAAATATATAACAGGAAAATCTTCTTTATAGACGCTCTTTTTGATAAGGTCTTTGACCTATTGTGCCAACCTTGGTGATTGGCAATTTATTTTTTTCTATAATTTCACAATTTTGAAAGAAGCATTCTTGCTGATAATTTTTTTCTATATGATCCCTTAGAACCCGACCCAAACTCTTTACCCTCCCTCGAATTTCAAAAATATGGTACAACACTCACAGATTCTCATTTTAATGTTTACAGATTGACTGTACCAATATATAAACTAGGTCGTATTGTTTGCGTAAAGCTTCAACTAAGCATGTTTTACTTGTAGACATAAGTAACTTTCAAATAAAGTATCCATAATATAAACTTACACATTTTACCACCCAGTGTTTTAGTGTTGTCATCAAAATCCAGAAATAAACATACATCGAGGTACGTGCCATGGACATGATGGACATTTGTCTTGTCTAATGTCTTGATCCACATTTGTGATCAGTCTTTGTCGCTAAAAAGCTTTTAAAAAAATCAAAAATCCCAAAAACTAAAGGCAAGCCTTTATAAACGAAAACTAATATGGCGGACTCACAAGTAAATTCTTGAGTACAGACGTCCGTGAATCAGATTACCTTTTATTGTGCACAGTTTAGTAGAAAAAGATAACAACCTAAACTGTGACATAAATGAGACACTTGTTTTGAACAGTGTTTCGGTAAAAAAAAATCAATATTTTAGAAGAGTTAATGCATTAATTCAGGGTATCAAACTTAGAATATGCACATAAAATTATAAAAAAGGAGAAAGCAATTTTGCATTGTTTAAAATCACCTATCTGTGGAGGTGACATTAACAATTTTGATAACACGTTATGCTGATACTTGTCTTAGCTTTTTGTTACAAAGTACTCAGAAGAATAGGCTAATTTATACAAAACAGTGTGGAGTACCATTTTACATGAATATACATAAAATATTTAACTGCGACATAAGTAGTTCGAATTATTACTGCAATGAATTATTGATTTTGTCCTTATTGGGATTTTTTCAATACAGGAAAGGCAGTTTTCTTAGTCATCTATGCATAATAATGGATAACCTATTTCATGATATCGCAGTAAGTTACTTACATTTGATTGAAATGGAACACCATTCTTCAGTTTATTTTGTTTTATACTCTCAGTTTGCAAAACTTATGATTTCTGCGATTTTTTTTTCCTTTATTCTTTTTTATCATTTTCATTTAATATGCCTAATATTGCAATACATGAAAAGTTTTCTGACAAAGTATATATTCAAAGTCATTTTAATCATGACAATTATAGGGTTTTTTAAAATAAAAATACAACATCCGTTCTGCCCTTATGGGGGCAATATTGATTTTCCAATTAATACATATGGATGTTCTATATTGTTTGTTAGTATATAAAAGTGTATGTAACAAAACAAAACAGAATAAGTTGAAAATGACTAGTAATAAAAAGTTAAAATATAAAACATTTGAACATGTGCATGGTGTGTGGTAGAAAAGTGAAGCGTCTTTCCGTGAATGCATGTCGGGATCCGACTTCTGAATACAGATTTCAACTTTTGTGGCAGCAGTGAGAGATACACAAACTGTTTTTCTTTCACATTTATCTTTGTATGTCCTAAGAATTGATGATTTGTTTTTCTTTGCTTCTCCGTAACAAAAGAAAAACTAGTGCTTAAGTTAAGTTAATATACATTATATTGGTTGTTTAACGTGTTGCACGTGCTCGCTCTTGAAAGCACGTGCGCGCAAAAGGACCTTCGTTCGGCAAATCTACATAACATCCCTACTGACCCTTAAAAGGTTTTACCTAAGTCGGATGTGAAGTTTACAAGATCACTCGTGGACTAGATTTTCCCGAGGAAGAAGAAAAATAACTAGATGAGATCTCGTTGCAAGCAACGAGTAGGTCTTCCGACCGACTTTTCTCCAGCGAGCAGAGCAATCAACTTCTCGGATTGAATAAATCATGAGACAAACCATTTATTTGGTTTTAGTGCTCAACATCTAATTTTGCTTTTATGGTATCTTTTAAACTTAGCAAAACACTACTTTATGAAAAGTAAGGTCAAGGTCAAAGAAAAGGTCAAGGTCAAAAATGGTGATATAATTAAATGGCTCTCATCAGTATTTATTAACAAGTGAAGGTAAATCTTGAATATCTTGAATAGTATGCTTAAAACTGAGCTTAACACTAATTTAAGATAAATGGGGTCAATGTCAAAATATGTTGACAAAATTGCATAGCTCTCGTTAATATCTATCAGCATATGTATCATAGAGAGTTTCTT